GATCACCCTACTGCATATTTTCCCACAGAAATGGGCAAATAGGGCTCCTTCCATTGCTACTGGCTTGAAAACATTTACTGGCATGCTATTGCTCATTAAAAAATATTATTATTATTATTAAAATGAAAACATAATCTATTAGGTAAGAAATGTCAACTTTTTGTCAAAAGATGGTACACTTCCAGCATGATCTCAGAATATGTAAATCAAAGAAGGAAACTTGGATTTCTGCCAAAGAGATGGGCTTTTTTGAGTTGCTACCCGCAAAGCTATATTAAGATAATTCCTCTTTACTTGTTTTCTAATTAAACTAATTGAATTCAGAGTGTCTGGGGGAAGCACAAGAGACATTTATCTTGAGGGGATGAGGACCCTGAAGCCCAGCAATCCTATTAGGGATAAGAAGGCAAATCCCAGCATGCCCATTTTACAACAGCCTTGACCCACCCCCACCCAGAGTTTGGGCATCTCCAATATTCCTCTCTCCTCTTCCTTTAGAAAGGACTGGAATTGATTCCACTCACAAGTATTTACTGATCACCTACATGCACATGTTGTTGTTAAGTGCTGATGAATCGGTTCTGACTCATAGTGACCCTGTATAGAGTTTCCGAGGAGTGACTTGTGAGTTTGAACCGCCAACCTTGAGGTTCAAACCAACCTTGAAGTCGAGTGCTTATCCTATGACGCCAAGGCAGCAGTATTCACTTGGGTTCTACAACCTCCTGGTTTTCTTCCTACTTCGATGTCTATGAAGACAATATCCTCTACTGATTCCTCCTCTTGTCCTTGACCTTGGAAAGCTGGAGTGCCCAGGGTTCAGCTCTTGGTTTGCTCCCTAATCCTACTTCTCTGCAGAAGTCCAGAGTGGTGCTATAGGATCAGAACTGAGCTGTAAACCACAAGATCGGCAGTTCAAACCCACCAGCTGCTCCTTGGAAACCCTACAAAGTGTTGCTATGAGTTGGAACCAACTTGATGGCATTTATAAATAGCCCCACCTGGAGAGATGTTAAGTAACTTATCTTGTTTCACACAACTATTAATTGGCATAAGTGTCCATTTTGATTTCACATTCTTATAACCAGTCATTTAGAAGTTTTCTAAAATACTCATTTCTTCCCATGTGTTTGGAAAATCTCAAAGTGCTTTGCTTCCCTTCCCAAATAGTCCACAAGAATAAGAATAACCTGATCATTTTCAAAAGGTTTGGCTGCCCATGCCAGATTTGTTAACAAGAATCAGCAAAGGTTTCTTCCACTGCCTATGATGTGAAGTGTCTCCCATGAAGACCCTTCTGTCATCATGCCTGGAGGCCGCCCACACACCTTGTCCACACTGTTGGCACACTGCAACAACTTCATTTGGAGGTGTTAAAGCATCCTCCCTGTAGTCCTGATCTTGCTCCATAGGACTTTCACCTGTTTGGTGCCCTGACAGCAGCCCTTCAAGGAAGAATATTCATCTCTGATGAAGATGTGAAGACAGCAGTGTGTTCATGGCTCACAGCTCAGCCTAAAACATTTTTAAATAAGGAATATGAAAACTTGTTGACAGATGGACAAAGTGTATTGAAAAGCAAAGAGATTATGTTGAAAAATTCTGTATTTTTCATTTATAAAAGTTGATTAAAATAAATTCTATCTATAGCTAGAATGTGGATAATTTTTGACTCACCCTCATATAAAAGATTTTGGAAAGGCAAAAAATATCCAAGCTTTCTGAATCTGAGTTTAATTGCTATGGCCCCAAATTTTATTTTTACAGCCTTACCTAGTTGGACTGTTAACCGCAAGGTCAGAAGTTTGAAACTACCAGCCGCCCTGCAGGAGAAACATGAGGCTTTCTGCTCTTGTAAAATCTCTTGAGGACTCCACGGCACACACTCTTGTAAAACCTCTGACTCCATGGCACACAGCCGCCACCACCACCACCAAGCATTGCATCTCAGGACCTCTGTGCTTCTCAGCAAAAATGTTCAAAGTCAGTTGTATTCCCCTCTCAATCCCAAGCCCTCAAATGTATGACTTGAGTCACATCATGGTCTTGTGAAGGAATATTTTGCTGGAGTTTCATAGGATTTATATTATGATTGTGTGGAAACATGTTGTATAACATCTTCAAGGAGATTTGTTTGGATGTTACATCTGGTGAAAGGATCCTGGTGGCACTGTGGTTAATTGCTTGGCTCATAAACCAAAGGTTTATGGTTCGAACCTACCGGTTGCTCCATGGGAAAAAGATGGCAGTCCAGCAGTTTTGGAAACTCTATGGGGCAATTCTTCTCTGTCCTGTAGGGGTCGCTATGGATGAACTTGATGGCAGTGAGTAACATCTGGTGATAGTGAGTCTGATCAAACATAGAACTGGAAAGGATAAAGAGGAAGAGGAAACTTCCAGTAGCCCTGTGTGGATGTCCAGTGGAACATTCAAGGTTTAGCATTGCACTAGATCTCCATAGGTCTCCATTGCATGCACTGGATTGCAAACCACAAGGTCAGTGGTTTGAACCCTCTCGCTGCTCTGAAGGCAAAAGATGATGCTTTCTGCTCCCGCAGAGATTTAAAGTCTCGGAAACCCTCTACAGGGTCACTATGTGGAGGAACTGACTCAACCGCACTAAACAACAGATCTGAAAGTCTATACAGAACCCTATTCTTTTGTATGTCGATTGGAGTAACATACTCCACAAAGACAGTATTCTACATCTTACTTTGATGGGGGCTTAAAAACTTGTGAATGGTCACTTAGGATGCAGCTATTAGACTCTCCCCTTCTGGAGCACTGAAGAGTGAAGAAAACCAAAGACATAAGGAAAGAATTCATCCAAAGGACTCATGGACCATGCAAACCTCTGCCTCTATGACCCCCAGACCAGCAGAGTTACACAGTGCTGGGCTATCACTACTGACCAACCTGAAAGGGATCGTAATAGAGGTCCTGGGTAGTAGAGTGCGGGACAAATAAGGAACAAAACTCATTATTACAAAAACAAAACAGGATTACTGATCTGACAGAGGCTGGTGGAACCCCAAAAATAATGACCTTAGGTGCCCTTCAGACCTAGAACTAAACTCACCTCCATGGCTCAACGTTCCACCAAATGATAGGCCCTGTATGGTAAATAACAACATCAGGGAGGCCCAGACACATTAGAGCAATCAACAGAATAAGACCAGAAGGGCAGCATTTGCCCCAAACAAAGCTCGAGGAGGCAAGATGGGGTAGGAATGGAGGGTGGATGGAAATGGTAAACACGGAAGGAAATGGAAGAAAGTTGTTTCCGTTCCAGGACTGCAATCAGTGCCACCAAACAAAATGTGTATAACCTGATGGATGGAAAACTGATTTGCTCTGTAAACCTTCACTCAAGTCATAATAAAAAGTTAAAAAACAGAAACAAAAATCCTGTTCTTGACTTAAACCCTGGTCTTTTAAATGAAAACAATAAGACATGAAGTCTCCCAACAGAGTTTCTGTGGTTTCATTTATTTTGTATGCATTTACATACTTTTGTGTTCGATTAATTTTTTTTAATGTTCTTAATTGCATTAAGAAATGTGAAGTTCTGAGAGCAATTTGCATATATACATTTTTCTGTTTGTTTGAAGTGATACTGACATAGTGTTCAATGCACTGGACTCTTCATTGCAAAGGCAGCTTGTCTCCTCGCTACTGTGAGAACATGGAACTTGTTGCCCATTGAAGAGAGAAGATAGTATGAGCTTAAAGTGCACAGGGATCCTCAAACTTCACTTCTTTCTTTTAATTTTTTATTGTGAATTGAGTGTCCTCCAGCCTTCATCCTGGGTGCTGGGGGGGTACATGACTGCTTCGGTCTGTCTTTCTTCTAAGGGAACTGGGATCATTTTAGCAGGTGGGCAGAGTCAAACCCTGCCCCCAGGAATTAAATTGGAGAGGAAATGGGCATTTGCTTTTGTTTCTTTGATCCTTAGGTAGGGATGATTTTTATATCATTGTTCACTGATTTTCATACTTTGCTACTTTTATAACTAATTGTAAAATATGCACCCTTTGGCAAGGTGTTAGCTCAGTGTTCTACCAGAAACACTCAGAACAACCACATTCTAGTCTGTGTGTTTGTAGAGGGCTTTATAGGCATAGTTTTCTAATGGTGCTCACTATGTTAAAATACATGCATACAACCCTGACTGGGTCCTTCCCCACACTCCCTCACATCACAGAACACTTTTGTTCTGCAGTCTGCTTGATTTCTGTGAAGGTGGTCTGGGCTTTTTCTCTGATGGTGTCAAAGTCCACATTCTGGAGATTCTGCAACTGCCCAAGAATAGAATCCTTGTTCTCTTCCTCTTCCTGGTCTTCATCTACCATTTTCTGGAGATCTTTGGGTAGATTCACATTGTCTCCAGCCATCTGGATTTGGTTCTGATCCCTTTCATTCTGTGTGAAAATAAATACAGAAATAACTCTAAAACAGATAGAAATGCAAAACACAGCAGGAAAATAAAGGTCTGCTTGCTATGAAGGAAGGGAGCATGGTGGTTCCATAGGATAAGCACTGGACTGCAAACCACAAGGTCAGGGGTTCCACTCCGAGGGAGAAAAATGAGGCTTTCTCCTCTTGCAAAGGTGTTGTTGCTATTAAGTACCAGTGAGTCGGTTCCAAACCATAGCAACCCTGTATAGGATTTCCAAGGAACGACTGGTGAGCTTGAACTGCCAACCTTGCAGTTCAAACAGACTTTGAAGTCCAGTGCATTAACCCACAGTTCCACACCAGGACTCCTGTAAAGATGTAAAGCTTCAAAAACTCGATACAGGGTTGCTATGAGTTGAAACTGCCTCCAAAACACTTAACAAGAACAGAAGCTATGAAGGCATGAGCCCTGATGATGCTGTGGGATAAGCACTGAACTGCTAACCGAAAAGTCGGCAGTTCAGACCCACCAGCTGCTCCTTGAGGGAAAGAGGATGTTGCCTGCTCTCGTGAAGACTTACAGGCTCTGAAACCCTACACGGGGTTGGTATGAGTCGGAACTGACTTAGTGGCAGTGGGTTTGGTTTGGGCTTTACGTTTGAAGGAGGAGTTCCTGGGCGAGTCAAGCAGCTAATGTGCTCAGCTACGAAGTGAAAGGTTGGAGGGCCAGTCCACCCGGAGGCACTCTGGAAGAAAAGCCTAGAGATCAAGGTCCAAAAAAATCAGCCATTGAAAATCGACAGAACCCAGGTCTACCCTGACATGCATGGGGTCGCCAGGAGTTGGAGCTGACTCAACAGGAACTGTTTTTGCTTTTTGTTTTCTGCGTGAAGGAAGTGGACTGTTTTCTTGGTCATCTATCAGCAGAGCTTCCTGATTAATAGGCTCCTCCTTCATGGCACCTTGACCAATCAGATTCTTCCAGCACAGTGGTTCACAAAGTGTGGTCCCAAAGAGTGCTCTCAAAGCATTCACATCATCCAGGACCCTTATTAGAAATGCACATTCTCAGACTTCCTCCCAGACCCACGGAGTCAGGAGTCAGGAAGCGTAGGGGTGAGACCCAGCCCTCTCCACAACACCACTGCCCACTTCAGCTTGAGAATCACACACAGTTCCTGCTTGTTAGCATCGTAAGTGTAGGAGTCGGTGACCTCCATATAGTGGCTCTGGCTGGTCTCATGCAGAGGGTGGGGTCTGGACTGGCAGCAACCCCGACTCCTATAGACAAACTTCTGTTGTTGCTCTCTTCATACTTGACTGGGAACTTCTTTCCCCATTGCTTGCCTCTCCCATATATCAGACACGGAGCCCTCGTGGGCTCGAAATACTATCAGATTCAATGCCACCTCCTTAGGACCTGGCATGGAGACTGGCACACTCTGAATGCTTATGGAGGTAATTAATGTCATTACCATTGTTACAGAGCAGGCTGACCACCTAGACTTCATGATGCTGTCACCGAATCATGCTTCACATGTCACTGTGTGATCCTAGGTGTGACTATCCCAGAATGCCTTTTACTGCCTGACAACAAAAGAGTAGGATCTAAAGAAAAGCGCTTTCCAGGACAGGAGACGGAAGCTGGTTCCCAGGGGACTGCTGTCTGAAAATTTCCTGAGAGGTCAGCTTGTAACTTTAGGCAAACGAAAGGCTAACAAGAGAAAAGACATAAGCAGATGTTGATTGGCATCTAGCCAGTTGCCATGGAGTCGAGTCTGACTCATGGGACACCGTCCCCCCATCCCGCCCTCTGCCCCAGTGTATCGCAGTAGACCTGTACTCCAAAGGGTTTTCAAGGGCTGATATTTCAGAAGTAGATCTCTAGGTCTTTCTTTATAGGAACATCTCGGGTAGATTTGCCTCTCCAAGCTTTCAGTTAGCACTTGATCATGTTAAGTGTTTACATCCCTGGGGACTCCAAGCAGATGCTGCTGTTTCTGTTAAGTGCCATCGAGTTGGGGTTTCTGAGGAGCAGCTGGTGGGTTTGAACTGCCGACCTTGTGTTTAGCAGCCCAGTGCTTATTCTACATAATCACATCAGGACTCCAAGCAGATGTTAGGAGCCACCTTAATACACTATTCATGACCAGCCTTGCATTTCTTACCAAAACTCAAGACAAATCACACAATGAGAAATGATCATTTCTCTATCAGAGCAGCCTGATTTGATTTTCCGAAGATTTTGGTACCTGCTGGTTTCCCAGGTGCAGTTAAAGACTAACAGGAGAGACGAGCCTCCCTTACTTGGTGCTTAGGGGAAATGCTCAGAAATACATATCAGTGGTCTCCAGGTATAAGCAGCATGCCACGGCCATTTGTAAACATGATTCTCCATCAGTGAAAGGCATTGCTGGGGCCTGCTCTCCAAGGTCCTTTCCAGTGTTAACATTCTATGACTCCCTATTTCCCTAGCTGGTCCTGGCAGAGGTGGAGGTCAACAGCCTTTCCCCTGAGTTCTCTTCTTCTGTCTGGGTCCCGGGGCAGAGCAACACCTGAGCCTGGCCCAGGATCTAGTTTGAGAGGCAGATTTCTGAGCACAGGGGACCGTACCTTTTTTGGAGGTTGATCCCTGAAGATGTTGGTGGCAGGCGCTGTCAGTATCAGCCCCAGGTGATGAGTGAAGCTTTTCCTGCATTTAGCCAGGGCCTCGGACCCTTCAGGTGCTTAGCAGATTAATTAGTTCCTCATCAAATTGCTCTGGGGATTAATGAGCTGGTTAATCCACAGAGGCTCCCAGCTAATCTCCTGTTTCTATTTATTTCTTATTTACCTTCCCTAGCGGTGGCCTGGGGAGTCCTGGTGTGGTGCTGCGAATTGATGCAATGTGCTGGACTGCAAAGTCAGTTCGAACTGCAAGGTTGGTGGTTCAAGCTCACCAATCGCTCCTCAGAAACCCTATACAGGGTCACTATGGATTGGACTTGACAGCACTTACCACCAACAACAACAATAAGCAATGACCTGGAATCCTGGTGTGGCGCTGTAGGATAAGCACTGGATTGCTAACCAAAAGTTTAGCAGCTCAAACTCACCATTGGCCCGTTGGAAATTCTATACAGGGTCACTATAAGTCTTGACAGCACTTAACAGCAACAGTGGTGGCCTGCCTTACTGACCGTTCAGTGGGTACTGCTGCAGAGAAGGAGGGAAAACAGGACCAGCGGGCTGCTCTCACATAAAGGCAGAACATTTGTGGTGGTGGTGAATTTATGTTGCCAACAACCTGGGCTATGGTTCCCAGCAGTTTGATCAAATCAACTAGTTTCTGTTCCATGAAGTATCCTATGTCATCACCTTCCATAATCAATCAGTCAATAGAAAGGGGAGTTCCTGCTCATCAGAGCCACAATAGATGGACCCTACCTCAACAATACCCAGGCCTGCTGACGTGGTGGAGACTGGAGCATTCCCCAAGACTGTTGCCCCATGATAGTCCTCAGGCCTTAAACTGAAACTCAACCCTAAGGTCCTCTGGTAGCTAAATAATAAAATGACTCAAAAAATAATGAATATGACCTGTAAGTACTGTTCTTTATCAAAAACCACCTATTTCCCAGCATTAATAACGAAGTTCAAACAAACAGAAAAGAGCGAATGCTGGTGAGGGTGTGGAGAGTCTGGGATGGGATGGCACTTTCCCCCAAACTGGAAATAGAAATACCGTATGATCCAGCAATCATGCTACTTGGTAGAGATCCTCAAGAAACAAGAGCTGTGACTTGAGTAGATCTGTGCACACCGAGTTCATCACAGCACTATTCACAATAGCAAAAAGATGGAGACAGTCTAAATGCCCATCAACAAGAATGGTTAAACAAATCTCGGTACAATCACACATACTACACAATGCTGAAGGATAACAATGTATCTGCAAAACACATCACAGCATGGATGGACCTGGAGAACATCATGTTGAGTGAAATTAGTCAATCACAGAAGGACAGATATTATCCGAGACCACTATTGTAAAAACTCAAGAAAAAGTTCTCATGTTAAAAGAAAAATTCTATGATAGTTACCAGGGGTGGGAGGGAAGAAAGAATGATTCCTTGACTAGAAGGTAGACACGTGTCAACTTGCATGACGGGGGGGAAAGCAGTTAAAAAAATAAAATAGAAGTATCTACAATAGACACATACACACACACAGACACCCACACACAAAATCACCTATCTGAGACCAAATGGACAGAAATTACTTTAAAACAAAGATGAGAAATGTAAGGGGAGTGAGAACTGGACTAACGGAACTGGAACAGCCTGAAACGGAATCACGAGAAAGTTCCCACATTGTGAAGAATGGAGCCAATGCCACTGAACAGCCTGTGTGGAAGGTGATGACTGGGAACCTACACTTCTGTGTCAACCTTCACCAAGAACACAATAAAATGTTATTGTAAAAATACACGGTGGTGAGGAGGGTGGAGGGAGAGAAAGGCAAGGGAGCTTCCTTCAGGCATGGTCTGCCCCAGACTAGACTGTGAATGTACATTCTGGGAGGAATCATTCTCTTACTCCACTCTGCTCTTTTTCTGTTTCTTGATCTATGGATCTTGGAACAAAAGTCCACAGAAGCCTCCAGCCTGCCACCTGACGTATGGATTGTAGATTTGCCAGCCTCTACAATGGAGTCCTGGTGTGGCACTGTGGGTTAATGTGCCAGACTGCAAAGCCGTTTGAACAGCAAGGTTGGCGGTTCAAGCTCACCAGCTGCTCCTTGGAAACCCTATACAGGGTTGCTATGGGTCGGAATCGACTCGACGGCACGTAACAACAACAACAATGGCATGAGCCAATCTCGTGAAGTAAATCTCTCTGTATCAACATATAGATCTCACTTGTTCCACTTCTCTAGAAAGCTCTGACCGAGACATTTGCTCTCTGCTGTTGTTCAGCTCCGTGGGCTCAATTCTGACTCATAGTGACCCTACTGCCTGGTCCTGAGGGACCCTCACAACCAT